TAATGAAAAAATAAAATAGATTTAAAAAAAAAAAACACACATAGTCTGTATTTTCTGGCTTCTAAATGATGTGACGTCCAAGTTTTAAAAAAACAACACCACACTACAATACAAATAATTATGAGTTCCACATCATGATATGAAACAGAGAGGACCTGTGAGAAGACTACTTTTTAATATGAAATGCTACCACTTGCAGAATAAGACTACAGCTGGGAGAACTTCGTATGCTTCGGAAGGACTTCGGGGTGGATCAGATATACGAGGGGGAGTAAGAGAAAAGCTTTCTGAATAGGAAATCTAAAAGACAACCTCCCCAACCCCACCTCAACATAAACCACCCCCCCAAAAAGGCCTTTTCTAACTCGTCAGGAATAATAATGAGACAGACAGGACTGGAGGCCAGTGAATCCTGACATGACCTACATGACTTTCCTCAACAGGACTGATCCCACATGGAATAGGGTCTTTCCTCCCTCGCTCCCCCGTCCACCCAGGGGCCCCGCCTACCTTGGCTGCATAGATGAAGACGTCGAATCTAGCGTGGACGGTGCTCCCGGGACACTGCCGTCTGTGCACTGAACTGGTAGAGAGTCAGACAGGCTACTGACAGATGTGGCTGCAACGGTACCACATCGCATGTTAGTGATTCCGCACACGGGACGGCCCACCACCTTATCTAAAAAAATCAAGGTCAGTTTTCCACTAAATGCAGCACACGAACCTGGTTTTCCTATAGAACAGGCTGGTGAATGGCTTCTAGCGAAAGTGTTTCCAATACGATGGTTTTCCAATGAAAACACCATGGATGTTTAATCGTGAAGGAAGCCATACAGTACACACTGCACGTGTTAGCACACGGAGCCCCTGCTCTGCGGACTGAGTATCACCAGGCCCTGTGCCTCCCAGGCAGCTCCCGAGCCCAGCGCGGAAGCGAGATGGTGGAAATGAGATAACTTCGCGGGGAGGCGAACCCAGACTCAGAACGGGAACCCTGCCCAGCACATGAGGTCGCATCATTTTCCCCGTCCTTCATCAGGCAGAAACGCAGATGATGATCTCGGTTAAAAAACGGTCATCTATATGCCTAAGAAAACTTGGAGAAGTTTGAACAAATGGTTCTAGCTCTTGGCTTGAACACAAAGCGCTGGTGAGAAAGATTCCGTAAAAAACATTTAACTCTAACCGGTGGTGCTCAGTGGTTAGAGCATCGGCCTGCAGACTCAAGGGTCCCGGGTTCGATTCCGGTCAAGGGCATGTACCTGGGTTGCGGGCACATCCCCAGTAGGAGATGTGCAGGAGGCAGCTGATCGATGTTTCTCTCTCATCGATGTTTCTAACTCTCTACCCCTCTCCCTTCCTCTCTGTAAAAAGAAAAAAAAAATCCATAAAATATATTTTAAAAAACACACATTGAAATGAACTGACGATCAACCAGCATGTTCATCAAGCACAGACACTAGACACACGGGGTTAACCCGCACGTGGCCCAGCCTGGGGGAGTTCTAGAAATGCCTGACTTTGCAAAGCTGACCCTTGGAGTCCTTGCCTCCGGCCCCCCCACCACCTTCCACAGCTGCTGACCCAGAAGCCCGCCTCGCCCCCAGGAGGGTCCTCTGAGGCGGGAAGGCACAGAGGACCCAGCGGCTGGCGCTGCACGCCCCTTCCCCGCCACACCTCTCCTCCCCGTGGCTCAGGCTTCGTCTCAGCCCAGCTGTGGCTACCCGTCACCTCTCTTTCCCGCAGGAGCCCTCCAAGACCCAAGAGTCACGGCCCTCCTGCGGCCCCCTCCCTGACCTTCCGCTCCCGGACAGCGGGCACACCGGAGTCTGCAGCGGAGTCTGCAGCTCCGAGGCTGCACAGGGGCTGAGGGTTGTTCTTCTCAGAGGGCCACTCCCATGCCGCCGCCCTACCACTGATCACCACGCTGTGTGACGGGACGTGTCCCTGACACGGACGCAGTAGAGCGAGCAGGACGGGGGAGCTGTCGGGGAAGGGTACGGGTGCTCGCCCCGCGCCGTCCCAGTGGTCGGCGATGCGGAACCCGCCGTGCCGGGCGGGGCCACTCACCGGGGGGGCTTATCCGGTCGGTACTGCTGTTCTGTCGCTGCAGGTGTTCCTTGTAGCACACGGAGCACATGCCGTTGGTGCGCGGGTTCCCGTAAAACCCGCAGCCCGTGGAGCACAGCATGGGCACCTGGCTGTGGTTCGCTTCTTGGGCCATGTTCCCCCGCTGCACACCTGGAACGGACAGGGGATTAGCAGACGTTCACGCTGCCATCACACGCCACCCAGATGCTTTAGGGGATTCAGAGAAGCCCGCACATCCTCCCCGAGCCCCCCCAGTGCAGGGAAAGAAAACGTACACGTTACAAGGACGCACACAGAGCCTGCCTCTCTCGCCCGCTCTGCACAAGCAGGTCTGCCAGCTGAGAGAGCAGGAACAACTCGCAGAGAAAGGTCCCCTCGGAAGGCTGCACACCAGCAGAGGCTCAGGAAAGTCCTCTAAGCCTAGCTCAGTTTGGACTCCTAATCCTACCCAATAATAGACAAACATGTAAATTGACCATCCCCCCGCTACGTTCACCAGCCAATCAGGAGAGTATGCAAATTAACCCAACAAAGATGGCGGTTAATTTGCATACGTAGG